CCCCTCCGGGCTCACTCGACGTCGGAAAGCCGTTCGGGGTTTCTCCGCGCTTTTGAACATTCATTCCTCCGTTCCTAACTGAGATTAAGAAATGACACCGATGTCATTTATTAAAAATATAATTCTCAATCGATAAGCTTTGGTTTCATTACTTCATCTCAATTAGGGAGGGGAGAAATTAATTTTTGAATGAGAAGAACTTGTTCGGAGTTACTGCGCGTTTTGAAAATTCATTCCTCCTCTCCTAATAGAGACTAAGGGAATGAAACCACTGTCATTTATTGAGAATATTATTCTCGATCGATAGATGTTGCGTTCATTCCCTCTTCGCAATTAGGGCGGCGGGGGGAGGGGGGGAATGAATTTACTAATCGGGGGAGCCCCTCCGCGCTCACTCGACGCCGGAGAACCGTTCGGGGTTACTCCGCGCTTTTGAAAATTCATGCCTCCGCTCCTACTTGAGTAGGATAGGATAGAATTTCCCGAAGATTCCAAAAAGCTTCATTGTTCTTCGTGCATGAAAAATGGGGATCTTCGGGAAACTCCTTGCGATCGCAAGACTTTTACCGATTTATTTTTCTCCGTGTGACGTCCGTATAGAAGATCAAAAAATCAATTTAACAATGGGATAAATGGAGTGGAGAGAAAAACGTGAATATCTCGGAAATTAGATGCGATAAAATGGGCCCTTTTCACGTGGACGTACACATATAATTGGACTGAAATTTATAGAAATTTTTAATTTCCAATGACGAAATTTCTTGAAATTTCCGTATTACGGCAACGCGATAAAAATTCCCAATAAGTGTTCCCGGAATTTCCGCGAAAATATTACTGAAACCTACAGACATCATTCCTGAATTCAAGACTTTCCTTTGATTTTCAGGATCATGTCACTGGAAATTTTTTACAAAATGACTTAATTTTAACATTGCTTGCTCATTGCATTTCAGAAATGCAGCTGCCTAATTATAATTTTTTACCTGACGACGTTTTCGTTTCAAACAAAACTTGGTCGAGAAAATTTTGTTTTCACTCAGTACAGATTGAAATGGTTCATCTCTCAGGAGCAACGTTCACCAAAATTCTCCCAGAGCGACGGGATATTTTCATTCGTCACCAGAAAGTCCGAATGAATGCATCTATCTCGGGAGCAAGGGACTCTAGGAGAAAATCTATGAAGCCCTTTTTTGAGATGAGAAATTCTTCAAATTTCTCCTGAAGTCACTCGCTGACGAGGTAATTCTACAATTAGAATTGCAGATGGGAGTGCTCAATCGAAAAGCGGAAAGTGTTAATTGTCTAGAATCCCTGAGAAGCGATCGTCACCAAAACCGATCACAGGAGGTAGACCATCAGAAACCGTTCCAAGAGAAAGAATGTGATTTTTTAAATATTATTGTTCATTTCCATGTTACTCAATTAACTCAGGATGGGAATTATGGGATAATTGGAAAAATCAGTAAACCGTGCTTATTCAGTGTCGAATTGCGACGTTTCGCTTGTAATTCATGCTTCCTCAGGTTCTTGACATTTCGAGTACGTTGTCACCATAAAATAGTAAGAACATTCTTAATGAGTTTCAAGAACATAACACGCACGAAAAAATTTAATAGAAAAACCAAGCGAATTGGTTAGAAAATTCTATTGGATTTATTCTATTGAACTTTCTATTAGTTTTTGGCCGATTCTTTTAAATGTTCAATAGAAAATATTCAATAGAAAAAGTCAATAGAATCCGATTTTTCTACATAACTTACTCTGTTCAGATATTTTCTATAGAATGTCCTCAAATTTTCTAATTTTTTTGCATTCTAGTATTTTTTTCTTTTCATCAAAAAAATCATACAAACTTGGAAAATTTGAGCCGCGGAAATTGTGTAGAAAATATCTCCATAGAATAAGTTATGTAGAAAAATCGTATTCTCTTGACTTTTTCCATAGAATATTTTCTACTGATCATTCCAAAAGAATCGGCCAAACACTCATAGAAAATTTAATAGAATTGTCTAGCGAATTCGGTAGGTGTTCTATTAAACTTTTTCATCCGTGAACACAAATCGACAGAATAGCAAGTCTCGTCGTCACAAGCCAAAAACACCCAAAACCCAGTACAACAGTATGGTTTACTGATTTTTCCAACTATCCCATAATTCACAACCTGAGTTAACGTTATTTTTTATGAATAACAATTCCTGATTAATGGTTAAAATGGATCTACCCATACGATAAATAGAAATAATTGGGTATGAATTTTATTTTTCCCATGCAATTTGATTGGAAAATCGGACAACTGAAAGAGTAGAGCTACTTTAAGAATGAAATTGTGGAAATGTTTTCGACTCAAATTGTATTGACGTCACACGATTAGTTTGATCAATGGGAAAGATGTAATTTTCCAAAGAGCCAAGACTCAATTCTGACAAGTGCAATCGAATTTAGTTGCAAATTGGTGACACGAGATCCGGCCAAATGGGTCGAGATTGACACTGCACTTGTTTCTTAAAGTTGATGAAACGAAATCATTTCTTTTGCATGGAATATACCATTCCCTTTCCGATGAGCCTAGGCTGAGTTCAACTGCTGGATTTGTCTTTGAGTAATACACATTGGAGAAAAAAGTGAAGAGTATCCATTCTTATACTTCACAATAGATGAGGTTTCATAAGGTTTCATAAGAATTTTGCCATACAAATTCAGCCATCTGCCTTTGTATCTTTTTTTACGGTTTCACAACTCCTCTGGTAAACCCCCAGAGGAGGTACACTGAAAAAATTAATTTTATCAAGAGAATTTTATTTAAACCAACTATCATTTGGTTGGTAATTTTCTAATAAACATGATTTCATAGTGAATACCAGTTGTCTCTTTTTAAGATACATTTGATTGGGAGAATTCGAATTTCTTGAGAATTGAAGTTCCTTTTACTTGTCGCAATAATGAAAGTATTTAATTTCTTTTTAGCGAAAAGTTTGCCAACTCCAAAAATTCGTTGGTTTACTCAAAAATCACAATTATTCTCATGACTAAATACGCTGTTATCTCAGTCAACACGAGCATTTCGGATGTCGAATCAGGATAAATATAGTTACGCGGAAAAAACTTTGACATTGTAGTAAGGTATCGCTGCGTTGCAAGAAGATACCCGATATCTCTTGCGTGATATTTCTTGAGTAAAAAAATCGCATTAGTTTACCATAACAGAATCAGAGATTACACCGACATCGGTGGCCGAAGCGGCTAGGTGCGAGCCTAGTGTGCGAAAGGTTGTGAAGTTCGATTCCCCGTGGACCCGAGTTTTTCAACCAGAGGCTCCGGTGAGCGGGAGGTCGCTAATATAGTGGACCGCCTGTACCGGCATGGGTTTTCTGTGGTTTCCCATGCTACTCCTATGTTCTATAGGAGTGCGAATGCGGTGCAGTGTAGAATCCACAGCCGCATGCATAGGGTTGGATAGGGCCGATTAGCCAATCAGAGGGCAGAAAGGGCCGGAATATAAAAAAAAAAAAATTCAGAGATTACGACAATTCAACACAAACTTGGATTACACAAATTGCGTTCAATATGATGTACGTAAAGGTCAATTTAAACTTCGGCTTCATTCAAGAAAACAACATTCAATTCATTCCTCAATGTAATCATCTCCTAAGTACGAATTTTTTATCAATTCAGTAATGAAGTGGTCAAACGGTCTAATTCAATTCCATTCTAACGGCAGTTCTCGATGAATATCTCAAATTCTAAAGGAGTTAGCAAAATTTTCCTAAAAATCTTTTTAGTAAAGGAAAGTGAAGACTATCGAAAAAGATGTTAGAAAAATGGCATTATCTTTCTTAAATTCTGAGTTATTCAACAAAAACACAACTGGGAGCTAAGTCGACTTAAACCAATTGATCACTTCACTACTGAATTCATGAGAGTAGAAAATTTCTCGACTGGAGATTATATTAGGTTAAAAAAAATAGAACTTTTTCATTTTTGTGGTGAATATATGTGACTTGACGTGAAGGACTGTTCTATTTGATTCGAGGAAATGTATCTCAAGAAGGAATAATTGATATTGACCATAGGATCTTATTTATTTGGAATTGTTTCAAGTATATAATACTTGTTCCAAGAAAGAACCATCTCAATAAAAATAATTAATTCAAAATTTCATGGTGTAAATACCCTCACCGTTTTTGTACTCTCCGACAGAAGAAAGAGGGGGATAAAAAATGATAACTCTGTTATGAAATAGAATCAATACAGATTTATTATTTTCGTTTTCTCATTTTCTTTTAAGATTTGTACATGCCTGTCCAAACGAAATACCTAATCATACGTGTTTTTTTTCCCACTGGAATCTCCTATGAATGAACCCCTTTAACCATATATAATACATTCCAACGCAGCCGTAGATTGCAAAATACAATATATACATAAATTGCAAATCTACCCCATTTTTTGTCCTCCATTATTACTACCACGTTAGTCTCTATCTCATTTTTTTACAGCTTTTCTCACTCTCTCATTCTCACTTCTCCTTGATTTTTAAATCCGACTGAATTACAATTGTTGATTATTCGATGGGTTTCAATATGCAAGAGATTTAATTCTTTTATTTTCCACAGTGCTTCGTATGAACACTACTTGACATGTTTGCGGAAAATAATAAATAGTAATGGCCACTTATGAGGAACAAAGAGGAAGTTGATTAGAAAATTAGAATTGGGATTCAAAATGGAATTCAGTAGTGAAATTGTATATGAAGATGAATCACAAAATTTCATGCAAATGTTTTCGTAAATATCGGGAGAACAAGTGGACTTGGAGGAAAATGTCAGAAGCATTTTTTCATAAAGAAATTTTTCTGCTCCATAAAAAGTCTTTAGACTTTTTCTCCTGAAATTGGTGTTCCTAAGACAATAGCATACTCAGTAAAAGACTATATTCTTTTGCATTTTTTGCCAAGAAATTGTCATATCATCTCGGTAGTCATGTTAGAGAAAATTATCAAAAAACATTTTCTAAAGAGAATTTTGTCAGCTACGAAAAAAATCTTTTGCCATTTTTACCTCAAATGATTCTTGTCTGAGATATTCCTGGGAATATGAAGTACATTCCATTGTATATCTGATTTGCTTTAAAAATTTCACTTGAGAATCGTTTTCATTCTTTGCCTTCTGGATGAAATTCTTTTTAATAAGTAGATATTGAGGAGGACAAGCCGAAATACAATGAGGGTGAGAGGGTAGAGGAAATGTTAGAAATTTTAAAGGACTCTCCTATGACCGTTAAACAATGACTGATAATTGGATTAATGAAGTGGTTTTTCCTCGTAGTTACTTAAGTTAAGATCATAAGATAGCAGGAATGATAGATAATAAAATAATTGATGATAACTCCCTTCGATTATCTACAGTTTCATGAATTTTCCATTTAATTATCCTCGCTAATCACAAAAAATACCTCTCTACCTCCCAAAAATGTTAATTATCCATTCACTAGTCTCATTACAGAATACTACACGTGGTACTGATAAAACTCACAGTTATGTAATGTCACTGGGGACATTTTTCTACGCTCTCACCCTTTCAAATTCTGGTTTAATATTTCCTACTTTCATTTCAGTAGTGAAATGGCGAAAAGAGATGAACCTAGAATCTAGAAGAATTTCTCAGGATTATTTTTCCAATATCTCTGAACCTTCTAGATCTATATAAAAACGTCGAGAAATATTTTTCGTAGAGAATTTACGTCATTGGAAAGAAGATCTTTCGACATTTTCCTCTACAAACTTCACTTATTAATTTTCCATGTATTGGATCAATTAATGATTTCATACTTCAATGCATATTTCACTGAATTCTAAAATTCTTCCGATAATAACTGAAGCCACGAGAAAATATCAAGACTTTTCAAGACATCAGCAACAAATCCCTCCAACTTTTCCCTTACTTCCATCCCTTTTCACTCTTTCACCTCAAATCCCACCTCCATCTACGTAAATTCAAACGATGAATTCGTTAATAGTTCTTCATTAACTCTCAAAGGAAAATGCGAAAAAAACCGGAGAATAAAACAAAAAAAAATAAAACACAAAAAATTAGTTAACACTAGCAAAAAGTCAATAACTTGGGGAAAAAGGAAAAAAATGACTCTTCCGACGATTTTAACGCTATAAATTTTGTTAAACGTTTTTTTCTCTTCTTCTAGTTTTGAACAAAACTCCCGTACACGTTGGAACTCGCGTGAGGTACACGGGAAGGGGGAAATCGGTCGAAACATTGTCGACCATAACAATAAGTATATCTTATCGAGCTACATACATATTTACATGGCTTTTCATTTCCAGTGTACAATAATGCCTGGATTTTTGCCTCGTTTTTCTCTATAACAGCCTCGGTTGCTGCTCGAGTTTAAACGTAACGTGATAAACGTTCCTAAAACTTTTCCTCTCACCCATTAACGAGTGCAAACAAACAACCAAAGAAAAGAATTAAAATGAAGAGAATATAATGGAGAACCTGGCATTATTTTAAACGAACGCACAACTGCACAGACCGAGCCATTATTATTATTTTTTTTTTCATCACAACTTTTCCACTTTTTTTACGTTTTTTGCAGTTTTGTATTTTTTTTCGGTTTTCGGATTTTTTTAAATATAGGCAGGAATTCGGATAGACCGCTGGCACACGATTGCTCTCGTGAATTCGTCGAAGCACAAGTACACTTGTGGTGGGTTTGGAGATATCCCAGTTGGTTGGAGTTCGAATCGAAAGACGAGAATCCATTCATAATGTCAAGGTGCTTTCAATCCACAGTCGTTTACGGACTTTTGTCCAAACCTTCTCCTACGTATCCCTGGAGATGAGAAAAAATCATTATTTGAGGTTTTTACAGACCAATAATATTTAGGAAAACAATTCTGTGGCAAAGTGGTAAACTACGATAAATGCAATTTTTTTTGAAAATTTTCCTATTGCTTCAATCAAAAGTTCTCTCAAATGTAGTCAACTTTTTGAACTCTCCTGAAAAATTTCCATTTTTGCACTTATCCTAGTTTATCACTTCGCTGCAGAATTGTTTGTAGAGAGAAAAAGTTTTTGGTTTTAGATAAAAATTTCTAAATAGAAGATTGAATTTTTCATTCGGAAAGTTATTAGATTTGCGGACACTTTTTCCCATGTTTATTTCCCTACGAATTGCGAACACTTTTGCCGAATTTACATAGAAATCCTTATTTTTACTTTTGAATGGAAGTATTGTTATCTTTAAGATCCAAGTTTCTATTTTTTTGTATTAGAGTATCCTATTTTGGGCTCGGGAATTAGAATATGATGGTTTTAGACCATGTCCGTATGCATGTATTCATGTGGGTGCGTGTGCATACATGTGACCGAATTTTACCCTTCGTTTCGATAATAAATTTATCATATTTTATTCTGCTTTTCATGGAGTGTAGAGTTCAATGAGCCCTTTCATCTGATACCAATTTAATCTTGATTAGTGGTAGTGTTTTCAAAATTGTGACGCTTTTTGAAATTCAGTTTTACCCAGGCCGTTCAGCATATATGCATTCCTTGCTTCTAAATACTTAGAACCTCTGCGAATAATCCACGAATTTGTCAAAAGTAACAAAATTAGAATCTAAGGAAAACCAAAACTACCATGCAGAAAAAATTGAATGGAACCAATGTTAAATTAAAATTTTCTGTTTGTTAATGTAAATAACCCACTGTAGGTTCATACGTCAATGAAAAAAACCCAAAGATTAATTCAAATTTAATCAAATCTAATTCAATCTAATTAATCCATGTGACGTATTGTGATCAATACGTCGATTGTTTGTGAATAACAATGACGTATGATGAATAATACGTTACATTCAATTTATAATTCTAAACGATGGGAAAAGAAAAGTGATTTTTGTCTCATCGTTCACGAGCAGAGCTCAGCATTCCCATGGTGACACCTGAGTCCAGCTTCTTAGAAGAAGAGCTGTTTGACTGTTTAGTTTTGTGTCAGTGATGACATGAAATTGTATTAGTGCACCAGGACTGTGGGATTGCTTAGATCTGAAATTTCGGGTCTTGGAACTTTTGAGGACTCATAAGAGTCAGAGAGTGAGTACGGGAGTGAAGCTGAACGGTCATCGCAGCTCCTCCACTTTTAATATCGCGTATACCGAACCCCCCAATCGAATCAGTGTCTTGTATTTAGTTCGTAGTTTAGCCAAGAATAAACCTATAGCTTTTACCAGGCATTGAGTGTCCCATAGTTACATCCTTAAAATCCCTACATCCTACTATTCCGGAAGTGAGCGAATCCCCCGTAAGCGTAACCGTAATAGTTAGCTGGGTATAGGGTGTTTGACGGCCCTAGCAAGGAAGTATAAAAGGTTCTCTTACTAATAGTGACTAGTCACAGGGACTAGTCACTCAAGGTAGTATCACTCAGGATTGAAGGCAGTGAGTGAACTACCTAAAACGTCACAGTGGCGCCCAACGTGGGGCACCAATGTGACGTTTGGGATTTTAGTATACTATTAGTTGTATCTTAAAATCCGCGGGTCGTCAGTTGACCCTTTCGCCTAGCTAGCGATACCGGTGAGCTTACGGGTCGTTCGCTCACGGAGGAACTAATCGGAAAGGGAGATTTAGGAATGGTTCTCCTCCCAAATAACCAGTAACACTCCAAGTTATCCAATCATGAGAATATAATTAACTAATAAGAAGGTTACACGACAAAATGGGTTAAATGGGTTCGGCGTACGCGGATCTAGATTTTTGGGGAAGGCCAACGTCTGGACACTTCGGCCTCCCACCGTACTCTGCCTTGGAGCAGAGTCGCAAGGCGGTTGCAAATCCAAAATGCTTGATAAGCACTCCTACGGTTTTACCTTCAAAGAGCTCAGGTTGACTCTTGTTACACCGTGTGACTACTTATTCAGTATCGGACCCGCAAATACTTTTGTTATGAAAATATTGATTAAACAATTCCGACGTGTGGATGCTCCACACGTCATATCCAAATCAATGCAATTGTCGATTAAAATGTCGGCTTAACACCGACTGCCAGTGTTAACTCAACATTCGCAAGTAAACGAAACAAAAAAATTACTTGTGGATTAGAATTCAGAGAGAAAAACCTCCCGCCAATGTTGACTCAATCTTGGCAGTCGGGGCTGGGCCAAGATTAGCGCAATTTTTACAGCCAACATTGGTTGACATGTTGGAAACTTGGAATTTACTTCCAAAGAAGAGCATTATCATCTTTCCACATATTGTGATGAAAAATAGGGTTCGACACTTGTGGGAAAAGTGTTCTTTGACAGGATACGCACCTACCACGAGTCAAAAACACTGACGTACTTATAGCGAAGTATACTATTTCAAGATAATTGTGGAACAACAATTTAATCCGACAAATTTTCGACAAGTTTTTGGATCTTCAATGAATAAAATAACAAAATGATAAAAAATATCTTGGAAATTTGTGTTTTGAAATGAAAATGCTCATTTTTTAGGAGCTAAATACGCATTTATGTTTTACAAAAAAGGGTTCTTGATGACTTCCTGTAAATCATTTCCTCTCGGAAATAGAAGGAATTGTCTAATTTTCCATATCGACCAGTGCTTGAGCCAATTGACCTATTTATCTGGGAATAATTGGTTTAATCAATGACAAGTGGCCTATTTCCTCTTCGAAAAAACCCATATGCCGTTCATTAGTTCAAGCGGTGAATTTTTCTTCGATTCCAGTTATTATCAAGCACATTCGTTCGACCAATAGATGATTCCCCTTATTTACGAAATAAAATGTTAATCTTTTCTGGAGTAATTTCATTTTATTAGGTCCTTGATGAATTTATTTGCATAAAATAAAGGAATTGAGTAATGTGTGTCGTTCATATACAAAAAACTTTTTCAAACATAGTTTTATGTGAATTCCATTTGTGTGGAACTGAGCGAATGAATTAATTGAAATCAATTGAGAATTCCTTCAACAATATTTTTTTTGTCAAAGATGAAAGTTCACTCGGCAATCATTATTTTCAGAAGGAAATATCAAGACACATCTATCGCAAATTTCTTCAGCTAGGAAAATATTTCGTGACATAATGTTGTCTTGAAATCGCTCATTTTAGAGATATTTGCCTGATTTAGCGGAGCTTTCACTCTTAACTAGAACCGTTTTCCCTCCACTGCTGACGTTGATTACAATCAAATGAGAATCAAATAAAAAATTTTATTTGCTTCTCATAAATCATTCTATTTTTAAATCTCATAAACACCGAATCATGTAGAAATGATTCGGTGTTTATGATTCTATTCTTGTAGAGATGTCATAAAGAAGAGATAAGCTGAACAATGCTTTTGAAATATTTCGAAAACTAGTAGTCTTAGAGATTAATTCCGAGACACCTGTTCCGTAGTAAGTTTATTATCATGATTTTTTGTTCACTGAAGGGGCAATGGAACTTACCATCGGAGTAGAAATTGGCTTCCAAGCTTTTTCGTTGTCAGAGGACTATTTAGCGAAAGCCAAATTCTTACATTATAGATACCAAATTATTGAAAAAAAAAAAAAAAAATTCTAAGAGAATTAGAATTTAGAGAGAAAAAATTTCCGCTTCACCCAGCCGGGAATCGAACCCGGTTATTCAATAATACGATTATTCAATAAAAGCCAAATTCTTACATTATAGATACCAAATTATTGAAAAAAAAAAAAAAAAATTCTAAGAGAATTAGAATTTAGAGAGAAAAAATTTCCGCTTCACCCAGCCGGGAATCGAACCCGGTTATTCAATAATACGATTATTCAATAAAAGCCAAATTCTTACATTATAGATACCAAATTATTGAAAAAAAAAAAAAAAAATTCTAAGAGAATTAGAATTTAGAGAGAAAAAATTTCCGCTTCACCCAGCCGGGAATCGAACCCGGTTATTCAATAATACGATTATTCAATAAAAGCGAAATTCTTACATTATAGATACCAAATTATTGATAATGTAAGAATTTGGCTTTTATTGAATAATCGTCTGACGACGAAAAAACTTGGAATCCAGTTTCTACTTCGATGGTAAGTTCCATTGCCTCTTAAACCGAGTCAAATTCAAGATATCTTTCAGTAGTAATACAAAACATGATTGTGGCTCATAAAAATGGGTGGGTGAAAAAATGTGAGTGAGTCTTCCTATGCAGGGAAGTGTCAATTACATTGCTTTAGAAGATGATCATGTTAGTTATGACCTTGAGTGAACTCCTTCAATAATTATCCACATTAAAAAATTGAATTAAACTAAAGATTTATTGACCGTGGATGAATTAATGACGAAAGGTTGTTGTTTTTTGGCCTTGCGGTCTCCAGTAAATAAACAACATCAATTAATCATGTTGTGAAACCAGTGACCCATGTTTATTTCCCTAGGAATTGCTCCCCTGGGAATGATTTGATTGAAAAATAGTACATTTCAATACTAGGGCGCATGAAAAATTTTCTGGCGAATATGAGTTGCACCACGAGCCGAAGGCGAGTGATGCAAATCATATGAGTCAGAAATTTTTTCTACGCTCGTGTGTCGAACATTTTTTTTGTCACGAGGGTCGTAGGCGGTGTTTTAGGCAGGTGTGCCCGCGGACACGCGCCTAAAATGCTGCCTTAGGACCAGAGTGACAAAAATAATTTTTTTTCTCAGTACATGAAAAAAATCCAAACATTTTGGAGGATGAAATTTTTTTCAATAAAATTTCAGTCGATCTAAGTGCAACATTTGAAGAAAAAAACAAATACAGAGCTGGGACGAGATTTCCATCGTTCAGTTGTTGAATTTCGGAAATAAAAAATCCTGATAGTCTCGAACGCTGCATTTTGATTGGCTGCGACTCGAGTGAAACAATAGAAAAACTTTTATAAGAAGTCTCTCTATGTTTTCTTTGCCCCACGCAAAAGGCTACAAAAAATGTTATCATTTCTCTTTGATTCCAAAATATTTGAAACTGATTTATGCAATTTCGCCACTTTACCAATGAACGAGAAATTTTGCTGGAGAACTTATTAATAGTAAACGAAATTCTCCACAAAATAAGATATCTTAAAATTGTCCTCGAAACCCTTTTGAATCTCCCTTTAGCCCCCACCCCCTAAAAATACCTCCAATCATCTTCTAGTCTCAGTTAAACTCTCACCTCAACGTAATCTTCTCCATGATCAGCGACAACCTACTTTCCGAATGATTAGCTGGTAGCAAGGCCTTGAGAACTTCCCTAACCAGCGCCTCATTAATTCCGGGTGACGTGCGTTCAGCTAGCTCGAACGCACTCCTCAACTCCTCGACAGCTCCACCAGCTCGTCCCCCTGTACCCTCTCCATTATTGTCCCTCGTCGAATATTGATACTTGCGTTGAAGTTCCGAAAGAAGTGGAAACAGAAGTGAAATAAGAGTAGGACTGCGAGCATGTTTGGGCTCCTGTGAGCTCCTTGGTCGCTGTTTGTCCTCCATTGGCACAACAGGCACATCGGGCTTACTTCTCCGAGCCTTAGGTGTATTATTTTCACGCACCTGTGGCTTCTTCTGCTGTCTAAAGTCCCTGAACTGACGATCCTCACTCGTATCACACCAGACTGTTGATTTTTGCATTGGACTCTGCAATGGATTCTGTTGGGACGGCGTATTGTCATCTCTGAGTAGAGTTTCATGTAATGAATCTCTAGATTCATTATCGTAATAAAATATTGGGGATTCTAACGGGTCTTGAGGAGGCGAGGTTGTTCCACCATTCGCGTGGGCCTTATCTGTACTATGATTGGAGGTATTATTGCTCAACGAATTGCTCAAGGAATTGCTTAAGGTTGGCTGATCCTCCATCTGGGGCAAAACGGGCATCATTGGAGATTTACCACCGTGAGGACCTTTCACAGTCATTATCCAGGGCTCATCCAGATCACTGTCCTGTTTGGAGTCCTCGGAGTCGGAGTTCTCACTTTCAGTCTCTGACTCTTCGCTTCTCTGGGACTTCCATTTCTTGTAGCGGTCGATCAGGTCGATTAAATAGGAGTTCTTCTTCGCTTTGCGAATGAATTGGAACTTTAGGAGCTCTTTCGCGGTGGGACGGTTCTCAGGGTCTTTGTTGAGGCAGGCTTCGACAAACTCTTTGAATTGTTTTGTGTAATTTCCGGTTAGCTGGGGAGGGTTATTCTTGGGGATCAAGAAGAGAACTCGCATTGGATGAAGTTCACTGTTTGGAGGCTCACCTTTGGCGAGCTCTATCGCGGTTATGCCCAGAGACCAAATGTCCGCCTGAAATTAAAAAAAAGGGTTTAGAATATGGGTTTTTTATCTGAGGTTACTCGAATTTTCTCTTGATTGTCATTCCTATGTAAATGCACCCCGCGATGTTTATCTAATGAATTAATTTTGTTCAAAGATTTCTGGGTACTATTGGACTAGTGGAGTAGGCAATTCTGCATCAGGTGTAAATCTGGGGCCAGGATTTATATGACAATTGTTGGTGTTTTTGCACGTACGTTATTTCATCATATTGAGAAATCAATACGGTTCATTCCTCAATCTGGAGTATGAAGTATGTATGTAAAAGTACACTGAGAAAAAAACGACAGAGTTCTCAAACAAGTCTTACTTGTGCCAAGAAAAGAGTTTTTAAAAAATGATCAAACAGGATTTCTTTGTGCCAAACATGCAAAGAGTGCGCCGAGATGAAAAAATTTTATCGCAAAAATAGATGTAGCAGTCGCAAAAAAATTGCATTCTCTGTACACACGCACGGAATGCAATTTCCAGCACTACTTCGTTATTCGATACTCCCATACGTATTTTTCTACCAAAAAATGTTCGTTTTATGCGAAACAAGCGATAGTAGTTTTTCGTTTCGGCTATTCAATAATTACAAACAAGAAATGAATCCTTAAGGCCGGGATGGATTATCGTTCGAACGTCATCTCGATTGTTTTTCCGTCTACATAATCTAAAATATATCACAATTTCCAGTTGATTTTACATCACGCAGGTGTCTCTAAAAATTATGATTGTGTAATTAAAGAAAGTAGAAAACAAACTGAACATTTTCAAAGAGTATTTTTAATAGAGATTAGGAAATAAGTCCGACAGAGAGGAAATTGTAAATGGATAATTTATCATCGCAACTAACGATCTGACAGATATTGGCTGCTGAGACAAATGACGACTGAACAGCTATTAGATACTGTAAATTATCAGTTTGTAATTTCCGCCCTATTGGGCTTATTTCCCAATATTATTCAAAAATGCTCATTGAAAATGTTCAGTTTGTTTTCAAAATTTTTTTGATTGTACAATCACAATTTTTGGAGACTCCAGGGCTATGTAAAACTGAATGGCAACTGCAGAACATTTCAGATTATCAAAACAAAAAACACAACCCAGATCAGGTTCGAAAAATAATACACACTTTAAATAAAACAACAATAATGATATGACAGTCTTGCAATTTAGAGGCAAAATATTTCTTGATAAATTTTTCTCTATATGAGATATTTTCATCCAGAAAAAGTACCGTCTCGTGTGAATATTTCGTCGTTGTCGAAAGCAGAGCAATTTCATGTTCGAGACTTGGAAATTCGAATTAAACAATTTCTTTTTTGGCAATTTTCAACTAGCGATTTTGTTGGACCAAACAAGACTCGTCCAAGAATGTGTTTGTTTTTCTCTCAGTGTACGGTTCGATTTTGTAAAATAAATAAGGTAAGGTCAATAGGAGAGCATCTAATAAGCTTTTTAAAAACAATTCTGTCAGATTTTGAAATTACTCTAAATGTTAAAATTTAATTGCCATTCAATTGAACCGCACAAATTCCAATCCCAAGGATATACATGTATTCAAGAGAGGATATTATAAGTATCTGAAACTTCAATGTTGAGTTGAGAGAAGGAATACCCATAAAGGCCTTATCGTCCTTAGTAAAGGGGATGAATTGGAAGGATTAAAATACAGTGCATTTGCATCTTGATCTGTCTACGGGATTTTGAATCAGTTCTATCCATATTATTTCGTAATGAGCAATGAGCTAAAACGGGATCAGTCAAATTCACTTTAGAACCACTTTCCAAGAAATACCCCACACTAAACGTGATATAGCTAAATTCCCATAAAGCTCTTTTCTGTAGCAGTCATTTCGCTATGAAAAAATTCATCAAAAACTCATCAGTTTTAAAGTTCACTAATCTTGTTTTCCCACTGATGATACTTTTTCATCCAATTGGACTGTAATTTGTAGAAGTTGGGCATCGGTTCTTCCTGAATATCATATTTTTATGCAAAAGCTACAGCAAAAAAAGACACGAAAAAACCTGAAATGTTGCAAACTGTAATTTATCAGTGTTATATCAACATCATTTAAAGGAGCTCTACCATTACAAATACATTTAAAAATTATTTAATACTCCAAAGAATTTCCGGAAAACTCGATTAGATTCGGAATTGTAATTTTTTCCCCAATTTGATGACAGTTTTGAATTTTTAAAGAAAATATGTTTTAACCTAGGATTTAAGAGAGCATCTTAAGTGAAAAATTAACATTCGGGGCGTTCTACGCTATTTCAACGGCGAATTTAGTTGAGTAAGGAATCCGCAAACTTTTATGTGAAAAACATTGTTCGAAAAGGATGGTTAGTTACTAAAAAAAATTATCGCTCGGAAAAAGTCAATATTATTGCAACTTTTTAAATAAATAATTAGAAAAACCGCTGTAGTTATGTGAGAAATATTGTTGAGAAAGCTGTGTAGAAATTATTTTTAATGACATTCACTGATGGTTGAGATTTTAATTTTTTAATTGGACACAGCGTTCTTATTAATATTTCCCACAAGATATATATTTTTCATATTTTTCAGAGTGGAACTCACGAAACTACAATCATTTTTTTAATTGTTTATTTACAAAATACTGATAATATTTACTTTTTTCGATCAATTTTTTTTACATACCTAACCATCCTTTGTCAACAATAAACCCCTTGTGAAATTTTTGGAATGAATGCATAACTTTTGAGATATAAATATTCAAAAGTATGCGTATTCGTTATTCACTAGAATTTTACAATTGTTATAATTTTAACAAAAATATGGGCTGTTAAAAGTATCTCTGGTCCTCCTTCTGTGATATAAGCAATTTTCAAAAAAAAAAAAATTTGCCTCCCTTGAAATAGCGTGGAAGATCCCATTTCCATTATGGTAAAAGACTAAAATTTGTTTTTGTTTTTCATTTGCTGAAAAGTCGATAAATTTTTGGACACCTCACAGAGAATGACCGACGGTTTTGTAAGCAAGTTCCATTATTTATTTATTTATAAGAACAAAATATTGAATTTTTTAAGGTACTAAGCTGAAAGAAACTTTTCTGGCTAAGAAGATTTTGCAGAACACATATGAGCTAAAAAATTTTTTTCAGCCAAATGACGAACATTACATTGATATTTTGCAAAATGTAATTTGGATGATACTAACTCGGTATGAATTTTTACAAATTTCTCTCATGTGTTTTCAACAACTGAAAATGACCGAATCTCCAGTGCAGTCCGTCGAGAGAGTAGAGCTGCTCTAAATGTGAACGATTCTCAGTAATTCTATATGGTCAAAAAACCTTCATGGTGGAGGACTTTGATTTGGACAACATTTCGTGTGATAACATCGACCAAAATTTGACCAAATATTGACCGAGTGATTCGATAATGTTAATTAAACATTGAAATATGAGTGCATCATCAGTATTTCAGGAATCCGATCAATTATCCAAAACTTTCCAGTGGCGGTATATAAAATAAGCGGCTGTTGAGAAGGCATTATTCAAAGGAAATGAATTCGAGAAAGCAGCGAAATGATAAAAGTGAGGGAGAATTTCTTCCCTCCGTTCTGAAGGCTTCGTCTACAGAAAATCAATTTCAACGTAAGGATTGATTTTCCCCATATATACATTTAATTAAATCTAGGAATTGGGTCACCAATTTGTAATTTTCCATGGATTTCAGAGTATAATCCCCGGTGGAGGGAAAATCCGTCAAAGGCAATCAATTCTGAAGTTTGCAAAAGGTAAGAAACGAGAAATTTTTTTCTTTCAGATAGACAGAGTATTCTTCATATAACTTATAAAGTTATGATAAATTTATCGCAATCTTCCCCAACGAATCCAAGATTTTCTGTAGACATTAAATCAGATGAACGTCCGGCGTCAGGAAATCGAATGGAAATGAATGTCTAAGTTTAAAGAACGATAAAAAGACTAAAAAGGCTCAGTTTTTCTATTTGAATTGAAGTGAGAGAAACGTTGATTCCAAAATGAAACTTAATTCGTGTCACTACATTCTGCATTTTAATTAAATATTCCTTCATTTACATCGATGTTTCAGGAATTGGGTCGTCGTTCATCCGAATTTTACGAGCAAACTCGCATAAAATGCAGCTCACTACAGAGGAAATAAAGGTAAAAAATAACTTCCCCCATTCAGGTCGAGAAGTTAAAAATGACGAAGTTTCTGTGTCAGACAGCGAAGAAAAATGATTTCTGATTAGATATTTATTCATTACTATGAGCAATCAAAGACAAACTGAACAGTTTGTTTGAAAGAGAAACAAGATAAATTGTTTTCACGAAGAAATCTATCAGAAATATTAAATATTTACATACAGAAATGATAATAATTCATGTTATAGTTCCAATTTTACTGATTACCCCGGAAACTAGTAATTTCATTGAAATTTGAGGGGGAGAACATCATTGAAATTTCATGGACACTTTAGTTGTCATTTTCAGAAGAGTGGCAATTGATTTTGGGGAACAAATTAAAAAGTTTCAAATGTAACGGAGATTCCAATGAAATTCTAAATGTTTGAGCGACAAGAAGAGGAAAATTCCACAATTTCATGAATTTTCAATCAAAACGTAAATATTTAGTATTAAATTAGGCTGAATTTTGAATTAATGAAAAATTTAGGAATATATTCACCTAAATTTTCTTCATTTATAGTAATCTTCATGAATTATTGAACTGAAACTTACAGTTTCGATTAATTTTTTCGGCAAATTGTAAACTTTCAAAGACAGAAGTCCTTGCAATTTCAGTGCGACTGTCAGTTGCAATTTTTTTGAGAATTGTACCGAAAATTTCAGAAAAACAGTGACTTTTCAAAGACGAAATTTCTCGTAATTTCAGTGAGACTTTCAGTTGACAAAATGTTTGAGAATTGTACCGGAAATTTCGGTGAAAATTTTTTGAGAGTGATCTTATGTAGACATGCAAACTCTCAACATAAAAGGTCTTGAGTTTTGTCCTCGACTCACCCATTATTACAATGATTTCATATTTAATAAGATGCGAAAAATTTACCAGTCATTTCTAAATTTCGGTGTCAATTTCATTTCACTCTGAATATAACCAAAAACAATGAAAATAGTTCTTAAATTTGAACTGAAAACAAGGATCCTTGCAAATAAAATGTTCAATTAATTTTGCTCCTCATAAAATATTCATTCGTGTCTATGAATACTTCAAGAACGTCATAATAAACTCAATATTCTCCCTAGAATTCAAATGAGAGAAATGGCTGCTACACTAAAACTCTCTTGAAGGATGAATATTCATCAGCAAAAATCAGGACAAATCATTCCTGACAGACGAGTTAATATCCTCAATCTAAAATCTTCTAAAAAAACAGTGACTCAGAAGGAAAACAATTATTTTCCTCCATCCAGACAGAGAAAAAAATCCACCTTGATAGTCATTTCCGTGAATATTCCATGTCACTTTGATCATAAATAAAACATTTCACCTAGAATTCAACAAACATAAACGTCTGCTATGTTCAAATTCCCCCGGAGAATCAATATTTGTCTACGAAATTGATAACAAATCATGTTTGACGCTTTAATTAATCTGTCTTCTGCTTTCAAAACTTTCCACTTAAGGTATATCCCAAGACAATCGGACCCAAAAGTTAGTCCCTATGGGTTTCCGGAAAAAATTCTAAATAACCTAATTTATTGCACTCTCATAAGTTATTGAGTTTTTCTATCCTCACATGTTGTTGATTCAGGCAACCAACAGTTTGAATCAAATAAGAAATTAGTTGTTAATTAATTGTCTGAATCAAATAAGGAATCTTTTGACGAAATTTTCATTTTTTAGAGTTGAATATCACAGAGACTGTGTAGTACAAAATTTCACAAAAAATTCACCGTATTCGGAATTTATCAATCTATCACGTATTAGTTTTTTAAGAACATCGTAAGAACCGTTTTCTCATAAAATGCAAAAATTGTGTTCGGAAGGGACCCATAACCCCCGTTTGGCCAATGCCTCGCTTATTAGAAACCCGCATATAATTATTTATTATCTCCTAAACTGTGTAGTACAGCTTATCATTTTTTTCAATAGTTAAGGACTATTCTAAATATTATCTATAACAAACATGGGGACAATCTTAATAAAAACGTGTTTTCTATAGATATTAGAGCTGCGGGACACCCTCAAAGAAACGCTTCTAAATTGACCGAATGACCACTTTTGTTCTAATGCGTAATTCTTTTTTTTGAACAATGAATTATAATCACGAAACGTCAAGTAAACAATTTCCAATCAATTTTAGGCATTGCAACTATTTATTATCAACAATTGAATTGTTCAAATCGCCTTAGCGCTCAAACTATGAAAGATACACGAAAATTTTCGGAACACGATTTCGTCTATACTTCATAGTTTGGGTGCTAGGGCGATTTGAACAATTTAATTGATGATAATAAATAATTCCAATGCCTGAAATTAATTGAAAATTGTTTACTTGACATTTCTCATGCATTGACGATCGATTATATATGTCTAAAAACGAATAATTAGTGCAAAAAAATCAACTGTTTATTGTTCATTTGCTCCGCAGACGCCTAAAATGTTAAGAATAGTCCAGGACCTCCAATTTTTGAGCTACAGAGGTTTTTTTTCAAAATTTTTTAAAAAATGTGTAATAACTCTTACGAATTAGTTTTTTGAAATTCGACTCGTACACAGCTAGTTTCGTGTTGTTTAATATAAAAATTTGCGCCATCCATGTAAAATAGGCAGAAAAATTATCTTTAAAATATTAAAAATATATTCTCGATTCTTTCAGAAATATTTTTCGGGCTATTTTACGTGAATGGTCCAATTTTTTATCAGAATAATAATGAAATTAGCTGTGTAAAAGTTGAATTTCAAAAAACTAATTCGTAATTATTATTGCACATATTTTTCTAAAAATTTTGCGAAAAAAAAAACCTTTGTAGCTCAAAAATTGGAGACCCTGGACTATTTTCAAGATTTTAAGCGTTTGCGGGGTAAACGAACAATGAACAATTCAGTAGCGAAGTGGTCAAACGGTTTAAGTCGACTTATTGTTCCAGTCCCAGTTGAGTTTTTGAGGAGTATTTCCCACTCTAAGGGAGATAGCGAAATTTTCGTAATTATATTTGTTGTAGCACTCAATCGGCTCTACAAGAAAGGTTTAAAATAAAAATTTTGCTATCTCCCTTAGATTCCGAGATATTCATTGAAAACTGGTCAATAGTCAAAATTGACTTGTAGCGTTTTACCACTCCGCTACTGAATTAGTTTTTTGCACTAATTATTCGTTTTTAGACATACATAATCGATCTTCAATGTATGAGAAATCGCATTCCAATAACCCCCGACACTTAAAACTCATAGTAGTCTCCCCTTGAAACAAGAATTACGCATTAGAACGCGAGTGGTTGGTACACGTCTGAAAATCGCAGGTGTCCGGCAGCCCTAAGATATCTTAATACTTTGAAATATTGACATATTTACTTTAGAATCATAGGCCGATTGTTTGATGACTTCCGGCGCCATCCAAAACGGAGTCCCCACGAAGGTATTCCTCTTGCTCGTTGTGTTTGTCAATTGTCCAGCGACCCCAAAGTCCGCCAGTTTCACATCACCCATTTCGCTGAGCAGTACATTTGCAGCTACAAAACAACCCCCACAGATAAAAAATCTCCCCGACACTCACAGAGAGCTTAACACCTAGCTCTTCATTTGAATATACGTACCTTTAATGTCTCGATGTAGTTTCCTTTCGCTGTGGAGATAATCAAGGCCTTTGAGTACCTCGCGCAAAATAACGGCAATATGCATTTCCTCAAAGCTTCCGGCCTTCATGAGATCTAAAGCGGAACCGCCACCCAAGTACTCCATGATGATCCATAGCTTGGTGCCCTGGAATTGAAAGAAGAACCGTAAATGTCATTTGAATACATAATAAAATGAAAGGATATTAAACCGGCCGACGGTTTAATGGATACGTAATCTTTCCCGTAGTTTGTACTAATTGAGATCGTTCATCTGAGGCAGAGGTGACCTCAATCGATGAAGTATTTTTGGTCAATATTTGATGAACTTGGTGGAACGAGGCAAGTCGATTGCAAGTCGAGGTAAGTTTTCTCGGATATCGTCGAATCTGAAGGGAATAGGGTCATCTCAGGGGGACCTTTGTAGAGCAAAATAACATAGAAGCTGGAAAAAATCGCCGTCTCTTAGACATTCCGAGAGTCTCGGAAAACTATACCCTGAAGGTGAACTAAGATGGACCGAAAGGACTCATGAATCCCTCAAGTTTTGTTTTCATTCCAATTTGATGGAATTTTATTTCAATTTAGAATCGGGGCGACCGGATTTAATGATGATCTCATTTTCTTGTTGAAAAAATTCAAGAGTAAACTGATTGACCCAATTGAGTTAACGCTGAGGTGATTTGTTTTCTAATGAGTCCTGAATCTTAGGAAGATAGACCGCAACCAGAAAAATGATTTATTTGAATCAAATAAAGTTGATTTAAATCAAATAATTTAGTTTATTTAAATGGTACCAAATACATTTTTTTTTCAAATTAAATAAAACATTTTATTCGAAATTTTGTTTATATATTTCTTTACTGTTAGTAAATCTTTATGTGATCCAAATAAATTCTTTATTCATGCCAGATAAACAGTTTTCTTATATTAAGAAAACTTTATTTGAAATAAATGAATTGTTTATACGATTAAAAAAAATCATTTATTTGAGATGAATAAATTGTTTGTTTAATATAATTAAATCCTTTTTTCTTGAAACAAGTAAACAAGTTTATTCATTTGCAATAAAAATATTCTTAAAATAAGTAAAAAAATTTAAATAAAGATTTTTATTTGATTCAAAAAAAAAATATTCTGTGTGCGTGACCTTTTTAGTGATTAATCTTTAATTCTCCAAATTAGCGATGATGATTCACAGCAAGAGGTAACAAATTTCCTCTAATAAAAATGTCACTACTTCTTTTTAATTTCAAGGTATTTTCCAGATGCTGACGACGAAGTAAAAAGAAACTCATCTGCTTTCATCACTCAATTTCTGAATCGATTGTCTCAGGGATTAATTCATTATTGGTAAAGCTAATAATTCTCTTTATTGGACAATACCAGCGTTAATATAATGAAAGCTAAAAATCGATGAAATACCAACAAGTAATTTCAATCATTTTTCTATTCATTCCGCGTGCATCCGATACTTTGAAAAAAAAATGGAAAAAGGCGATAACTCTGCACGTGTCATAAGAAGGTGATCAGCTTTTCCTCCTCATGAATAGGTATTATCCCCGTGAATATTTCAGCATGGAGAGAATTCCAATCGGGTCAATAGTTCCTGAGACATTCGAGGAAAAAAATTTTCTACAGATATTCGCTGTATCTTCGAAACTGGTTGAACCATTTTATTGAGATTTTGCATGAAAATATAGCTTACGGTACCAACTCGGAGACCAAATAATTTAGGTTCTGATCCTGTATAGCTTCGGAGTAATTGGAGTTATCAATGTAATTCTGAAAGTCCACAGACATTCAATAATATGAATACATATTGGCATTTGAGATCGTTCCAAGGCGATTCGTGTTTCACAAGGGTTGAGAGTGTTTTATGTTCCTTGGCGATCGTGGAAAATTTGACGAATTCTATAATTGATCGTTGTTCTAAGGATGTTCATCCATTTTCCGAAAATAATTTTTTTTCATGTTCGAAGAAAATTGCGTACATGTTTAAACTGATGAGGGAACATATGAAACCAACAGTTTTCATCCTTCCTATTCTAAAAAGAACATACACTTAAAGTCGATAACTATCGATATCTCGCAAGTCTGTCATGCTTGTTTCTCATTGGTTTCAGTCGTCTGAGGCGGCAAATTTAATTCATGATTAATTTAATTTTGAGATTTTCAATTATGATTGTTACAATTACAGCGCGCTATAGCGCGTGTTCGGTCTCGTAATAAAAAAAGATTCGCTCCAGGTGCTTTGATAAAACGAAATAAGAATATTTTTTTCATACATGAGCTCCTATGGGATGCATTTTCGAAAAAATATACAAAATCCAGTGGTCAAGGAAAAACCTGGGATACTCAGCCGAATAATATTAAATATTTAACCCTAGACTGGTCACCATGCGAGGGAATTGCCGCAACACGTCGTTTTATTCACCTTGCCATCGACTGGTTGATCGGAAAAATTTGAGAAAAATTGAATTCGTCAATTGAAGTATCTGGAAAATTCTAGTTTTTTTCCAATATTGTATCATTAATTCTCGGAGAAAAAAAATTATTTCCAACAGGTGAACAATTTTTTCTCGTGTTAAATGAAATCGCCTGTTGCGCGACGTTGTTGGGAACTCGCTAAACGCGCCCGGGAAGTGTAGAGTGGATTCGGCAACGCTGGAGCCTAAATAACACGGCGGCACTCTCCCGCGAAGGTGACTAAAGTCGCATTTTCCCGTCAGGTGACCAGACTAGGGTTAAAACTTTAAACTCCATGTGACTTCATGCTGCAACACCTACATTCGGTGCGTATTGTCTATTTTATTTCTGAATAATCCACTCAGGTTGATGGATGAAAATTCTCATCAACGTAAAGAAGATGACTCTATCAGTTGAAAAAGAAAAACAAATTTCTTGAGTGTTTACGATTTCGGATAAACATCCTTAATCGGCTCTTTCCGTGTTTCAGTGATAAACATTTAAAGATGTTTAGCCAAAATCGCAAGTACTTAAAAAAAAATGATTTTTTTAAAACTGAAAGGTGAAGACATTCCCTTCACTTTGATACAAATTTCAATCTACCAACCCCCATGTTCATTATTTAGATATGAAATAGACAAAATGCACGCACTAACATACGCTTATATGGGATAGAATCATTCAAATATTTCCTCTTTTTGCCCGGATACCCCAGATTTTTCTCTGGCCATTGGAATCAGTATGATTTTACACATTGCCTTCTATTTTCATTTTTATTTTTAGAGTCTTCTAGTAGGTGAATTATCAATTTGAACGTAAATTTCATAAGAGCCCGTGTATAAGGAAAAATTAGACTATTTATTTCTGCCGAGACTGCTTAGCTTTCAATTTTTTATAACGTTAGAAACGTTAGTTTTATGTTCTGCTGTCAGCCGAAAAAATTACAGAATTTTCCTGGATCATGAAAAAAAAAACGCATTTATCAACACTGGCTAAACATCCTTAAAAATAAGAGATTGTGTGAACCAACCGTGGAGAAATCGACGATTTTTCAATATTTTAGGGGAAGTGATGCCTGTACCGCTCAGCCGGCAGTACCGCTCTCCCGTTTTTCTTCACAACTATTTACTTTTCCGAAAGAAATTCTCACCCAATCTGAAGGTTCTACTATCAATATGTAATTCTCGCAAAAAAAATCCTTTTTTTCACTTCTTTAAATTATGAGAACAACACCCCATCGTTTTCGGATCTTTACGATGTAATTTGGGGCCAATAAGGTAGTGCCTATAGCGCTCACCTACGGAGTAACAATAATTCTTGCATTCAACCCATGATTTCGGCTGAAAATTACTGTCGCATAGCATTCTTTGGCTATTCCGCTAGATATTTGGACATTATAGAATTTATGAAAAAAAAATTATTTAAAAATATAAAATTAATTTTAAATTAAATTTTAAAAAATTTTAAATTTTCAAATAAATACTTTTAGTTGGCAATGAATTTATTTACTGAATAATATAATTTTGAGATGTTAAATTTAATTTATAAATTAATTTCATTTATTATCTAAATTTATCAATATATTTTTCCTCATAATAAATTAGATAAAGATGTATTTTATATTTTAATAATTAAAAAATTATATATGTATTAACAAATTAGATTATGAGAACAGTACTTCATGGTAAGTGAGCGGTATTTGTTGTATGCGGTCAGTACCGCTCACTCCGCTGCCGCCTTCGTTTTTTAATAAATTATCGATATTTCACCAAGAAGTGAGGGTATGTGATGTCAAAATATCTATCTAAATAGCCGAAGAATGCTATGCAACTGGAATTTTTATCCGAAATCATGGGTTGGGTTGCAAGAATTGGCGTTATTCCTTAGATGAGCGGTACAGGCACTACCTCCCTACCAAATACATAGACTAAAAAAAACTAAATCCTCATTGATTTTGACTTTCAAAAACTATGAAAAACCCCTGAATCAGTTCTTGAGAGACTATAATACTAAATGATTACAATGAAATGAAAAAACCTAGCAATTTCAATATGGATTTCACTATCTTGAAACTTTACAGGCAAACGATTCAAGCATAAATTGTCCTATTCCTTATCACATGAATATTTTTATCATAACCTTCGACAATCCAAGTACAAGCGCCACTTCCACCTCAAGTCGTCTCATTAAAGATTAGTCAATGGCAAATTGTCACGTTTACAAAGTAAAAAGATAAGAAGAGGAAGAAAAAAATCCAGATTCGAGAAATATTCACGGGATATCGGGCGCCATTGGAATGCACATATCTTATGATTTTCTTTTTTTTAATTTTATTAATGTTTTTATCCCCCATAAACATGAGAGAAACAAGTCGAGGCAAAAGGACGTAAATAAAATGGAATGTCTGCGTAGAAGTTGGGTCGAGTGGAGAGTGGTGAGGCGAGGTGGAGGTAACCATGCCATCCGTCGCACACCGTTATAATTATATCTACAGCAGTATCACGGATGGGCCAGTCCCCCCCATGAACACCCATCTCAGCTGCATTTACCGCGGGAGGGGGAGGACTCAAGTCTGTTGTATCATACGAACGATATCATGTGTTAATAATCCATCAGGAATAAAATACACCGTTGCCTTTTTGAGTTCAGCAGTCCGGACAAGGACAATAGATTATTGACTTATTTTTAATCAGTGTTGTATCGTTATTATCAGGTCCTATTTTTCACCCTATTTATATTATTAAAATTGCGAGAGTCAATTACGTCAGAAGGGAGTGAAAAACAAACTACGTAAGTTGTGAGAGGCACTGGAGAAAACCATGACGAAAATTATCTACATGACGTTTATTATCCTAATCATGCAATCATCTCAGAAATTAATGACTTCACTGTTAAAAATTTTTGTCACAAATTTTCGGTACACTTTTTGGAAATTTTTATCGAATTTAATTACCAATGAAATTTCAAGGAATTTCCTTATTGAAAATTCGAAATTTTGTGGAAAAATCAACGAGAACTGTAAATTTCAGTTCTATTTTTCCCTGAAAATCAATAGAAAACTAGAAAATTCCGGTAAATATAGTCACACTTAAGGCGATTTAGGGGGGGGGGGGAACATAATGAAATTTCAGATTTCATTGAAAATTCAATGTAATTTGACACTGAATATTCATATTAGGTTGAAAATTCAAATAAAGTAAGGAATTCTTGTCTTTATGCTGCTTAAAATTCTGAAATTTTTTTCTCCCCTAAATCGCATTCAGTGTTACTGTCCTGAAAATTAGTAGTCAACTGCCCATGAAATTTCATTTTTTTTCTAACAGTGTTCAGAATAACATGTGAGGAGATATTTTCCGTAGTTGGAAGCAGTCCCTTCAAAAAGGTCGTCCATAATACATCCTAAATATACTTACTTCCGGGAAAATCCCCCTAATTAAAAAGTTTAATCTTTTACTTGAATTGTTCCAGCACTTCACCACTCAATTACCCGCCTAGTCGTTGAAAAAATCTTCTTAAAATTACCTTAAGATAGGATCCATAATATTTCGTGACATATGGACTGTCGCACTGCGACAGTACCATAATCTCCTGCTGTATATCCTCGATCTCATCCTCAGCCTCTTCTAAATCAATGATTTTAATGGCAACAACCTGCTGTGTCCTGTTGTCAATCCCCTTGAAGACCTCTCCAAAACTGCCTTTTCCAATTCTCTCCTGCTTCGTAAATATCAGCTCGGGATCTACCTTCTGAGACCAACCAGAAACAAAAGATAAAACAAAAAGAATTATTCATAAGATTACCATGTGGGTTTAAAGGTTTTTTTTTCATTCTCGACTTTTCTTTTTGTATCCATTGTTTATTACGAAAGTATCAATGGGTTTGCCAACAATGCCGCTCGCCTTGGCTCGTTTAAGGCACAACTGTGCAAGGAGAGGAAACAACACGAGTCACTCCATAGAGATTTTTCTTTAAAAACTGTTATGTAGACCTTGAAACAATTTAATCATTTCTTTCGTCCAGCGAAAGCTGAGTTCTATGGTAATTTCACTGGCTACATTTTACCGTAATTATTTTTAATTCATTTTACAAAATATATGTCGAACAATGGTAGACATTATGGAAAGAATTTTCCCACACCCAGAGCACAATTTTACTGCATTTTTTTCAGCAAAAAATAAGACTGCGGGAAGAAAATTGTTGAGCTCGGAGTACTATTATTGGTCTGGGAATATTTCAGGCATTGAGTCAAAAAGATCCGGATTCCCCATTCATGTTTATTTTTATTGTCAAGTAAAGAATTCATGTGTCAATTAAAAAAATCAGTGATTGTGTTAATTAAGGAGTTTAGCAAAACGACACTGCTTGAGAGATTTATTCATTATCCATGAAGCTTGTTAACTCTCAACGAATGATTCATTTTAATACGAGAGAAATTAGTTGGCAAGAAAAAATTGGAGCAAATAGTTATATGTTGATGATTAACAAATTATCGATTCACCCAAAAAATTCACCTTATTTTAAGTTTTTAAAGGTCTTAAAATGAGATTTTTAAAAGTCTCAATTTGAGACTTTTGAAGGTGTCAATTTGAGATTTCCAAAGTCTCAAATTAAGACATTCAGAGACTTGAGTTGAGAGTCAAGTTAGGTCAGTCAAATTAAGACTTTCGGAACTGAAGGTAATATTGTTTTTCAAGTTGAGTTCTGAAAGTCTCAAGTTGAGACTTTCAATTCTTAATTTAAGGCAATTGAAAATATCACGTCTAGGCTTTCACAAATCTCAATTCTGTAGCAAAGTTGTAAACTAGGATAAGTGCAATTTTTTTGAAAAATTTTCTATTGATTGAATTGAAAATTCTCTCAAACGTGGTCAAATTTTTGAACTCTGCTGAAACAGTTTCATTTTTGCACTTATGCTAGTTTACCACTTCGCTACAGAATTTGACATCATAAGTCTCAATAGAGCTTGTTTTCTTTGAGTGTTGACGCAACCAAAAACGGAAAGATTAAGATTAAGGTTTATTGGTGGCCTATCACTAAATCCACTTTTGTGAGGAATTAGTTAACGAAACTGTTCAACGAAGGTCGTGCATTTATAACTAATGTATTCTTCTATCAGTGGATGAGGCTAAACTAATAGAAGAATTTATAAATTACGAATGAATGAAATTTATTGAAGGCTTGCTTCCATTTCGTTTCCTCAAATATCTATTTATTAATAGTTAACGAATAACCTAGTTGACAGAAGTCTGAGCACCATATTTCACCTCTCGTTTATTTATCAACCGAATCAGCTGTTAATTATTAACGGATATTCCGTCGTTTTTATGCAACTATCCCATTTGTTAGTAGCCTACCCATTATTCATAGCTAAAAAATTCTCTCAGTGTAATTGGGCACTCATTTAAGAACCCCTTTCCTTTTGGCTTGTTTCATTATTCGAAGCCACTCGAAATTCGGAAAAATCTAGAAGTGTAAAGTCAATAGCATGAGTACACTGGGGTGTCCGGAGGGGAGAGTAATTTTATTGGCGACCCTTTCAGATTGAAGTATTATGGGTCAGAAAGATTAGGAATGAAAACAGGGCAAGTCGACCTATTCTAAGGTGTCCCGCAATAAATAAGTTCATTTTCCATAATAAATACACAGAGAAACAAGAAACTAAGGGCTTGAATGTGATTAACAATTCGAATATTCGAGTTTTTATGTTGAAAATGGTAAAGCTTATCAGTGTTAGAGTTAATTGAAGGGATAGCATTTTTATTTTTAGTTCAATTGTAAATAGTTAATAACAAATCAAATTTAGAATTCACTGATTTTGACCCCTTAAAATAGGTCGACATGCCCCGTCTTCATCCTTGATATTTCTAACCCATAATATCACAATCTGAAGGGGTCGCCAATAAAATTGGACTCCCCCTCGACATTCTAAGGCACACTTGCGAAAAATTTGACTTATGCACGGAAAAAAAAAATTATTTTTTACTGTGGCAACATAGTAATACAGAACCATAACTGCCGCACTCAAAATTTACTGTTGAACATAGTAAAAATTGCGGGACTATATAGTAGAAAGTGATAGAAAAAAGTAAAATTTATTTTGACACGAATAAAAATTCGGTCAAGAGAAATCAAATTTTAACGTTGCTTCGGTATGGTCCTCGATTAATATTTTAACATTGTAATTTTTAATTTTATATTCTCTCCGTGTAGTTTTGGTACGAAATTTTCATCAAGTGACAGTTCCACCGACAAATTAATTGAAACTGTATGTTTCGGGTCAATCATTTTATGAAAATTCATAGAAATTAGGGAAATTCAGGTAAATATATTCTTGAATTTTCAATTGATTGAAAATTCCATTGAATCAAATACTAAATATTCATGTTTTAGATAAAAATTCTAATAAGCCGAACAGCAGGGAATCTTCGTATCTCCGGGAATGTAATCTCAATGAAATCTCAGAATTCCGTTGAGTTTTCAGTGGAATTTGAAATTTCATTGTTTTCTCCCCCTAAATCAAATTCAATGTCGCTCTCCCGAAAATTGCTACTGAACTGCCAATTAAATTCCAATTTTTTTCTACCAATGTAGTTGCAGTTATTTTATGAGAGAAAAGTGACCTCTTTTCTTGTAAAATGACCACGAAGATTTGACATAAGTCACATGAATTCAGAATTTATCAAAGAAATCAATCTCCAAAGAAGAAAGTGATTGACGCTTGAACGCAAAATCATATACTTGGGGCAAATAATTTTCCCAGGGGAAACATAATCTTATACATTGAGAAGAGCGTCTTCGAAAGAAAAAAGCGCCTTCGAGTTTTCGTCAAAATAATGTCATGAATGACGTCTTAGATTCAAATACCTGTTCCTTGAATCCAAAAATTCGTTTTTAAATTCATAGTTCGGAGTTATTGATTAAATGGAAAAATCTTTAACACAAGGAACACATCCTTAAAGCAAAAACGTCTTAATTGATAAATTTTCAAAGGCGTGTTCCCCTTTGAAACACGAAACCGATTTCTCTCAGGGTAAATTGTCAATGATGCCGAATAACAGTGAATTGATGAAAGGTTCTCATTGCTTCTTAAACCATGCAAAACATGATAACACTGAAAATAACGGAATCTTGGAGTGTCACAATTTCTAGGGGTATACAAACATTTTCACGGCATGTGCAAGTGCTTCACTACTTCGGGCGAGTTTGTACATGCCTCGCAAATGTTTGTAAATCTTTACGAATTCCAAGTTGCTGTCTTATAAATTCTCTCCTACAAATACATGAAGGGAAAATATATTTTTTGATTTAAAACTTGACCTCAATTCAAGATTTATTCCCCCCATTCATAATAGAGATTTATATTCATGATTAAAAAAATGCGATCTGAAGGGTCAGATCAAGAATATGATAATCATTCAATCACGAACATTTAGAGTATAATTTTCCCATCAGCATTCATGTTCACAAGATCGGGGAATAATGCTTCCCGATATGGGTCGAAAAAAACTCTTATTAAAGTTGAGAAGGCGACATTGGCTGAAAAAGAAACAATGTTCGAGACGCGTGGCCGTGACACTCGTTATGAGAGGGACCATTATTTTGCTCTTAATTTAGGAGGTTAAATGTTGTTGACTCACAACTTTTTCTGTCTGCTGCAGAGCCAATATCAAACTACTATAATGATCATTTTCTCGAACACGATCCAGAAAAACTTTGAATTTGAAATGAACATCGTTTTACATTTCATTCTAATAGACCCATTAACCACACTTTAAAATATTGAAGGCTACAGAAAAAAAATCTTAAGATAAAACGGAACAATTTTGTTCTTCCATTCACACTATTCTAATAATTACAAGTTTTTACGGGGGGCCCATTGTATTCTCAGAGACTGTTTTTTTCAAGGTCCTATGTTTCTTATGTTCCTTCCTATTCGTAATAGTAACACATATTTCCAAAGTGTAATATCGAAGCATTACATAGGTGTTCCTGCGTCGTCACTACGCCCTTGAGTATGTCATCATACTTAAAGTTTTCGTAACTGATCCGATCCATCATGATAATGTTGTCCTACAAGTAAATTATTACAATTTGGACTTGAATTTTGTTTCTCTCAATTTTGGTTATCACGAACACTAGCTGTCATTATTTTGTATTCTACTGGAACCAAGTAAACTGTTGAGAAATTTTTACTGAAATTTTCACTACGTTTCTGAGAAATTCTTTTCACATTATAGTTCTACTGAGATTTATGGAAAAAAAACAATGGAAACTGCAAATTTCAATTCAGTTATTCCATGAAAACCAATAGAAATCAGGACAATTCAATATATTTTTGAATTTTCAATTATTCAAAAATTTAGTATACACTGTTAAAAAATTTTGCCTGAATTTTCTGTGCCGAATTCTGGAATTTTTTATCGCGTTCAAGTTCCACTGGAATTCCAAGAAATCTTGTCATTGAAAAATCAAATATTCCATTGATTTTCTGTTCAAATGATCTGGAAATCAATAAAAGACTCAATTTTTCAGTTCAATTGTTCTGGGAAAATTCAGAAAAATCAGGAAAACTCAAAGAAAAATGGTAAATTTCCACTAAAAATTCAATCAAGTTGTGAAATTTTCATCTCATTCCCACTGAAAATGCATGAATTCTCGTGAATTCTACTTAAAACTTGAAATTTCATAACCATTTTTTCTCTAAATCCAATTCAATGTCACTCTCATGAGATTTACCGTAATATCT